AGCAGCAACATAAGATGAATTTAAAAGATAAAGATGACCTTTTGCTAGAGTAAGGGCCTTTGCAGGCTGCTAGAAATAGTGCAAAGTGAGTCCACTTTAACTGCCCTGGCTCAGTGCTAGGGAATCATGGGACTTGTATTTTTTTTCTGAGACATTGAGCCTTCTCTGTCAGAGAGCTCTGGTGCCACAATAAACTATAGTTCCCATGATTCCCTAGCACTGAGGGCAGTTAAAGTGGACTCAATTTACACTATTTCTGGCAGTCTACAGCAGTCTTAACAGCTTGCCTGTTCAGGACATAGGGGTGAAGGCAATGTGCTTTTTGATGCAGCAAGTTGGAAGAAGTAGCAATGGCTTGACCTTCACTTATTGCCAGAAATAAATGGAACAAATAGGTCAGAAGATGATGGAAGCAAATTTGAGGTGTCTCAGATTCGAACCAACCGGGTCTGTTGAACTGGTAAGGTTACATACTCAAATTCTTTCTGGTGTGAACATCCTAAGCAAAATCCTCTCACTATTTATGTGAATTGTATCCTGAAAAATGACAGTAATCTGTGAAGATGGTGACCCATTTATCCTTTAATAGACATGTACACATAAACTAATACCTTCACTGGTCAAGTGTCCAAGCTTTTGTTACACATAATTGCCTGAAACATATTTTCTCACTGGGTTCAGGATTAGAGTATGAGGGAAGATATATTTGTATAATTAGGAATGGCACATACTACAGACATTGGACCCAAACTCCTATCAGTATCATCCAACATGGATAATGGTTAGGATTGACTCTCAGCAACACCTTAAGGGCCTCTGATTGTCTGTAGCATATATCAACAGTTGTTAAAGTAACCACATTGTGCAGTGATTTCAATATTCAGTTATTGAATATGTTTTCAAGATGGTTAGAATCAGAGTTGGAAGAGACCCCAAGGGCCATCCAGTCCAACCCCTGCCATGCAGGAACTCACAATCAAAGTACCCCCAACAGATGGCCATCCAGCCTCTGTTTAAAGACCTCCAAAGAAGAAGACTCCACCAGTCTCCGAGGGAGTGTGTTCCACTGTCGAACAGCTCTCGCTGTCAGGAAGTTCCTCCTATGTTGAGGTGGAATCTTTTCCTGTAGCTTGCATTCATTGTTCCATGTCTTAGTCTCTGGAGCAGCAGAAAATAAGCTTGCTTCATCCTCAATGTGACATCCTTTCAAATATTTAAACAGGGCTATCATGTCATCCATTATCCTTTCTCCAGGCTAAACATACCCAGCTCTCTAAGCTGCTACTTTATAGGGCATGGTTTCCAGACTTTTCACCATTTTGGTTGCCCTTCTCTAGACACACTCTAGCTTCCAAATAAGGTCTGTCTAAAGCAAAATAAAGTGGTACTATTACTTCCCTAGGTAAAGGTAAAGGTATTCCCCATTGACAAGGTTGTCAAGTCGTGTCGGACCGTAGGGGGCGGTATTCATCTCCATTACTAAGCCGAAAAGATAGCGTTGTCAGAGACTACTCTGTGATCCTGTGGCCAGCATGATTGCACAGAACGCTGTTACCTTCCCACTGAGAAGTGGTACCTACTTATCTACTTGCATTTGCATGGTTTTGAATTGCTAGGTTGGCAGAAGCTGGGACTAGTGACAGGAGCTCATGCAGCACCCGGGCCTCGAACTGCCACTGCCAACATGCCAATCTTTCAGAGTCAGCATCTTAATCACTTGAGCCACTGCATCCCAGATAAAGCATACTTCCCTGTATCTAGTGAAATGAGACTGATCAGAGATTTAGTGAGGGCAGCACCAGCTCTGTTCCTGCCAGCTAAGATTGAATTACAAATTACCCATTGACTGCTGCTAGCGAGAAAGGAGAAAATCAGAGCTTTATAACCAGCATTTTCCTGCTCGTTGGAAATTGTGCAGATACAGATCCTTCCAAGAGCAACTTTTAATTTTGACTTTCTACACACAAATACACAGACATACCATCCCAAAGAACGTTTTAATTTTCTGTGGGCCACTATGAGAGTGAGGTGCAAATGAATTAATTTCTGGATCTAGAAATTTCACAGTTTTAGGGCAGGGAAGGTTAAGTTTAGTTCTGGGTGTGTGTTGTGTGAATTGTTATTTGCACTCTGCAATAGATAGGCTGGCATTCCTGGAGGCCTCCAGAGAAACAATTACGGTATTTTTCTTAATAGGCTGTAGGGACCTTTCAATTGTTAAACATACCCCTTTTTTTCAGGAACTGAAGTGAGCTTCTGGTCACTTCTACTTTGTTGTTGGTAGATCATGCAGCCCTCAGAGGGTTCCTGGGACAATAAATTGGCCCCCAGGTAAACTGCAGTTGCCCACCTGTTGAAGAAGGTTGAGCAAAAAGAGATTGCAGACATTTCAAATCCTTCATCTTTTGTCGAAGGATTAACAAACAGTTATTTGCTTCATGCTGTCACTTGGTAGTTAGAGTTCCTTAAAGGTAAAGGCAGTCCCTTGACATGAATGTCTAATCATTACCGACGCTGTTACCTTCCCACCGAAGTGGCACCTATTTATCTACTTGCATTTGCATGCTTTCGAATTGCTAAATTGGCAGAAGCTGGGACTAGTGACTGGAACTCTCCTCATCATGCAGCACCCGGGCCTTGAACTGCCAACCTGCCGATCTTCCAATTGTCAGAATTGGTGTCTTAACCACTAAGTCATTGCATCCTTAGGGTTTACCTATTTGGTCACCTGAGCTCTTAAGGTGGTAAAAACAGTATTATCCAGTAGGTAGATCAACATGAAGACACTCTTAGGACTTTTAAGACTCATTTAAACTTTGGATTTTGGGGAAGTTTATATGATAGCAGAATAATCGTGCAGCTTTATAATTTTTATATACGTGTTAAGTAAAACAACAATTTTATACAAAATACAGTAACATCCAAACTCCTCAAAACAGCGATACCTTTTTCTGGCCAACCAAAATGGACAATATGGTTGATCTTATGCAGTTATACATTCTGTGTGATACAATGATCATTCACAAGGAAATTTCTGGTCTAGGCATATTATCCTTCATAGACATTTTAAAGTCTAGGCACACTACTTTTATAGACGTTTTCTACTTACAAGGCACATAGTACTTTTAGTTTAATTCAGTAGTTAGGAACATCCCACTCACACAATATTTGTACTGCACAAGTGTCACACATCTCATATTTTATCTGTTAAGGAATTTCATACAGAACATTTAGATAATTTAAGTATTAGGTAGCACCACTGTCTATGTGCTGTGTGCCTTCAAGTTGTTTCTGACTTAGACCACCCTACGATGAACCTATCATGGGGTTTTCTTGGCAAGATTTGTTCAGTGGAGGTTTGCCTTTGCCTTCATGAGGCTGAGAGCATGTGACTTGCCCAAGGTCACCCAGTGGGTTTCATGGCCAAGCTGGGAATGGCACCTTGGTCTCCAGAGTCATAGTCCAACACTCAAACCACTATTTCACACTGTTATACTTTTTGGGCCAAAACACACTGCAGAAATAATCCACTTTGAGACTGCTTTAACTGCCCAGGCTCAATGCTTGGGAATTCTGGGAATTGTAGTTTGTTGTGGCACCAGAGCTCTCTAACTGAGAAGGCTCAATGTCTCACAAAACTACAGTTCCCAGAATTCCCTAGCATTGAGTCAGGGCAGTTAAAGCGGTCTCAAACTGGATTATTTCTGCAGTGCGTTTTGGACCTTGGAGCAGATAATGGAAATCTGTCTTGCCTTATGTTTGTTCCTCTTTAGTATTCCCAGCTTATTTGTTATCTTATGTTTTGGGTTGTATTTCCTGGCTCAAAGCCCAAGCAGAAACATCAAGCCTACGCATTTAATATTTCCTTGCCTGTTTTACAGTCAAATACCTTTGAAACCCTTGATTTCTAACATACTTTAACTTTTGAGCTCAACATACTGGGCACAATGGCAAAATTATGACTGACAGAATTCCCATTGTGCTATTAAGTTTTCATTTTTAATACCTGTTTTGTGCATGTCTGTAGATCCTAGAAAGTAAAAATACATTTTTTTTATATCACAAAAGTGCCTTGAATTTTTGAAATGTCAGTGCTCTCTCTATATTTTATTAGATTCCCCAGTTTCATCTGATACATATAGTGGAGTTTACCTGTTCAGTAGACAGAAGTGCAGAATCGAATTTAATCGGTGGGAACTTTTAGAAAATGCTGCAGAGCAGTGCTCCAGTTCAGAAAATCAGCCAGCTATCTCTTTTCTCAAGATACTCCATTTCAGGCCACCTCCTGCAATTTTCCACCCTACCCAATTAGTATGTTCACTGAGCATGCTCAGTCCTCAGTGGCTGCATCCGCACTGCAGAAATAATCCAGTTTGACACCACTTTAACTTTCATGCCTCCATCCTGTGGAATCCAGGGATTTGTAGTCTGTTTTGGCACCAAAGCGCTCTGAAAGAGAAGGCTACATGCCTCACAGACTACAGTTTTCATAATTCCATAGCAGTGAGCCATAGAAGTTAAAGCAGTGTCAGACTGGATTATTTCTGCAGTGCGGATGTAGCAATTGTGTTGTTTCTCCTTCTTTTAAGTCAGGAGTAGGAATCATACAGTCTTCTCAGAGTTTGACCAGAAATCTCAGCTACCCAGACAGTGTAGACAATGACAAGGAATGCTGGGAATTGCAATCCAACAGCATCTGTAAAGCTACATGATTTCTAATTCACTTTTAAGAGTATTTTTGTTTATTTATTCCTGCAAACCTTGGGTTGCTGCCTCCCCTCAGTCTTCTGATCCCTCCCTCATGAGTATGAATGGTGGAGTTTTGGCTACATAAGAATTGTTGTTGTGTGCCTTCAAGTCATTTCCAACTTATAATAACCCTAAAGCAAACCTATCACAGGGTTTCTTGGCAAGATTTGTTCAGATAAGGTTTGCTTTGCTTTGCTTTCCTCTGAGGCTGAGAGAGAGTGACTTCTCCAAGGTCACCCAGTAAGTTTCCATGGCAGAGCTGGGATTCAAACCCAGTCCCCAGTCTCCAGAGTCATAGTCCAACATTCAAACCACTACATCATGCTGGCTCTGTACATAAGGACAGATACTTGTTGATGCAGGTTGCATCTTCCTTATCTGGAATGCCAAAATATAAAATATTCCAAAATTCAAAATTGTCCACATGGGTGGCTGAGATAGTGACACCTTTGCTTTCTGATGGTTCAATGTACACAAACTTTGTTTCATGCACAAATTTATTTAAAATATTGTATATAAAATTGCCTTCAGTCTATGTGCATAAGGTGTATATGAAACATAAATGGATTTCATGGTTAGATTTAGGTCTCATCTCCTACACACCCACTCACTTTAAAAAGTGAGTTGTTATCCCAGAGTTGAATTCTTTCTACTTCTACTACTATTGAATTAACTTTCTAGAGCAATGGTTCCCAAACTTTGGTCCACCAGGTGTTTTTGGACTTCAGCTCCCAGATGCCCCAGTCACTGTGGCCAAAAGCCAAGAATCCTGGGAGTTGAAGTCCAAAACATCTGGAAGGCTAAAATCTCTGGACAATAGATGTGGGATCAGTGACCGAGAGTTCAGCTCCATGCTGACCAGAGGTAGCAAAGATTACAGGGAAAGTCAACTTTAATTTGGGAGGATCCAGCACACAGAAGGAAACGGTGCAATGCTCCTGCTGGTTTTGGACTCCATCTCCGGAAATTATCGCAGTGCTAATAAAACCAGTTTATCTGAGCCAGCTTAAAATTTAAAATGGGCAGCATTCTGATCTTATCATGAGGATTTAGCCACCAAAATTGCCACCCGGGTCCAGCCCTGGTCCAGCCCCATTCACATCCTCTTTTCAAAACTGGGAGTTTTCCAGCTTAAGGAAATGGCCTCCGGAGCAGCCCTAGGAGTGAGGATGGACCCGGGATGGATCCAGGTGGTGATTTCAATGGTTAGATCCTTGTGATAAGATCAGGATGCCTCCCATTTTAAATTTTAAGCCAGCTCAGGTAAGCAGGTTTTATTAGTGCTGCAATAATCTCCGGATCCCCTGGCCAGGCTAGCCAACAATGAGGAATGTCGGGAGTAACAACTCTACAACATATGGAGAGAGACACAGTTTCCACCCTGATCTAACAGCATGGTTCAGATGTTCAGAGCCGGGGGGGGGGGGGGGAGTTTTATAATACTTTTGCACTCCCCGTGACTTGACTGGCTGGTGGATCCTGAGAAATGTAGTCTAGGAAAGTAACTTTTCCAAACTTTGTATAGGGTGAAAGCAAATCCTGTGTGGCCACACCTGTTATTCTGAAGGGCTGGGGTGGGGCAAGGACTTCTGAGAGTTACTTCCACATTAGAGAGCACCTGGGCTGAAGGTGAGCTTTTTGCTAAGGGTCTCTTGGATAAAGCCAGATGTGTGAGTGTTATTGGTGGGGAGGGAGCTGACTGGTGAATGGGAAGCTGTTGGACGTATATGTGATGTTGAAGTATTTACTTGAGCCCTTTGTTTAGGAGGTCTGATTCTGAGAGTAAGTGCACAGCATGAAAAAAATGTGGTATTATGAGCTGGTGTAAAGTTAACCTTCTCAATTTGTTTGAGCCCTTTTGTTGTAGTTGTGTGCCTTCAAGTCATTTCCGACTTATGGCAACCCTAAGGCAAATCTGTCATGGGGTTTTCTTGTCAAATTTATTCAGAGGGGGTTTGCCATTGCCATCCTCTGAGGCTGAGAGAGTGTGGCATGCCCAAGGTCACCCAGTGGGTTTCATGGTTAAGCCAGGATTCAAACCCTGATCTGTTCTCCTTGAAATGTACCTGTTTTCATGTGATATCAGTGAAAGGGAGTGTGATGTCTAGGTGGAGATGTGGGATACAATCCCATTTGCTCTGTAACCTTATAACAGCCACTGTTTTTCAGGGTAATACTACATCACATGGTTGTTGTTAATGTAAAGTAGGTGAGAATAAGCCCTCTTTGGAGGAGGGTTGGGATAATAATATAACTAATTACAGATGGTCAAGTATATCCCAGTTAACTATGTTCCTAGATATTACTATTTTAACAACGTTTGCTACCAGAGGTAGAAATAACATGAACAAATAGGGGTAGGACCTTGCACCACAAAAAAGAACAGTTCACATTTCATATTCAGAACTAAGAATATGCATATGTGAAATGAAGCAATAGGGTCAAGTTAGTCTTGCATAAATAAACAAAAATAAAATTGAACCTTATAAAGAGCACACGAAAGTGTCTTCCAAACTGTATCCAGGGATAATATTTTCTTTCCACAGTCTCCAGTTTTCTTATGATTTCCAGTTTTGGTGACCAAATTTACAGAGCTAGTTGTTTTTTTTTAGTATGGGGGGTGAAGCCAGTCTATCTGCTCTCCTCTTTTGTCTGTTTTGCTGTTCATATATGCTTACTAAAGGCTGTTTACCTTATCTGCTGGAGGCAGACACATACAGATACAAGAGGATTGGCAAAAGCAGAATCTCATTCTTTCCCAGCTCAAGGTTCTTGCACTGTTCACTATAGATATACTGCTGCAACCCAACACCGAAAGTCTGTGTTTCTCTACCATTCTTCTTCCCAATGCCAGTGCTGCTAAAAAAAAAAAATCTAGCTAGACAGAGGACAAGAAGGAAAAGAGGGCACTGCTTGGTTGTGAAAAAAAAATGTAGTAAAGGAACTTCTTTACCAGAGGCCTTGTTAACTGAGGTATGGCTGTACTGCATATTGGTTGAATGTATAGAAAAGGCATATACATGCATCCCCATTCTTTATCTTCGTCCATTTGTAGGAGAATTGTTGTGTTAGCGTATATGTGTGACTGCATTTCTTGGCTGCAAAAATAAAATTTCCTCCACTACAACTGGTGATGGGAATAGCAGGAGAAAAGGACCACACTAGTGTTGGGAATCTTTTTTAAAAAATACTGTGAAAAGGCTGTCTTTTCCTGCCTATTCGATTCAACAGCTATAATCTTATTGAGGTATTAGGAGAAATAGTGTGTGTATGTGATACTTCTGGTAACAAATATCTCCTGTAACTACCTTAATCACCTAACAGAAAGGCTTCCCTCTGAAAAAAAACATTTAGCTGACAGTGTAAAACAGCCTTCCCCAATATAGGTTCTTCCAGTGTTTTTGGAGTATACCGTTCATCACTCCCAGTAAACATGGCCAGTGGTTGGAGGTAATGGGAGTTGACAGGAATTTTTGATAGTTTACCTGTGCCACAAAATAGACTTGGGACAATTACTTTTTTGGGGAGGGGGATTACAATTTCCAGAATCCTCTACTTAGTATGGGCAGTGTCTATAATGGCTAGGGGATTCAGGAAGGAGCATTCCAAAGTAGCATGTCCAAGTTCTGGTAAATATACATGTGCAGTATTTGTAGTCTACAATCCTTTTAATAATGTCCAGATTTTTGCAATCCTTCTCCCGGGCAGAATAAATATATTGGCCTAAATCCAACTGTTGATTCCAACCCATCACAAAAGTGTTGATGTAGCAAGTTATCATAGGTTTGCCTGCTGTAGGTAAGAGGACTGCATTCCTTCTCCCACCATTACTATAGCACAAGTGAACAACCTTTTGCCCTCCAGATGTTGCTGAACTGCAATTCCCATCAATCCTCACCATTGACTGTGGTGGCTAGTACTTACAGTCCAACAGCATCAGGAGGGACATGCATTCCCCACTCTCGGTGGGACATACTGAATTTTATGACAGTGAAGTGTAATCCAAATGGGCAAAGCACTTGTAGCAGTGGTGCATATATAATCTGTGGATGTATGTGTCATTCCCATATAAATGGCATAATAGAAACTCTTGGATTAAAGGTTCATTTGAGCAGCTGTTCAGCCCTAATGTTTTATTGATACCCTGTGGTTGTGTTTACCATACTGTTGACAGTTTCTGCACTGGTCATTTTAAAGGTTCAGTCAGAGATTACATGGAAACTATCCTTGCCTGATTCCACACCTTGCCCTTTTTGTCTATCAGTGTCCCTGTTATGCTGTTTAGGATTAATTAGGTTTTGCTTCACTTCCAAAGTTACACTGCACGATTGACCATGAATGCTAGTGGCCCAGGATATCCATTAGCCTCTCTCTATGTGGGTGACTTACATCCAGACGTGACTGAAGCCATGTTGTATGAGAAATTCTCACCTGCCGGACCAATCATGTCCATCAGAGTTTGTCGAGATGTTTCCACACGCCGATCTCTAGGTTATGCATATATAAATTTTCAGCAGCCTGCTGATGGTAAGTAGTAATTCTAGTTTATCCCCTCTACTTTTCTTCTAGTTTGAATTAACAATATTGGCACACAAATATAATCTATTCTACAAAATGAAAAAAGGTGTTCCACTAATATTTTATGTGTGATGTGTTAAACTAGAAGGTAACTGGATATCAAGAGATGTTGAAGCATCAATGTCTATTAACTTGCACATCATAATTTATCTTTCAAGATCTATATAAGTAGGATATATGCCAGCATCAGTATTTTTGGACTCTCTTCCTGCAACTTTCTCCAGCACTGAAAAACTTCTACAGAGATTTTCTCAGCCCTTTGGAGCAAGCAGTAAAGATTTTGAGGATGTGTAGTAGGGCAGTGAGGATGAGGGACTATATTCCTACCCCTTGTGCTCATGCAAGTTGCTTCCATGAGTGCAATGACAACAGTGGATACAGGCCAAATACTCAGTAGGAATTCTGCTCATTCAGAAATTTTGGATTTTGCTTGTTTATCTTCTCTGTCTTGCATTTCTGATAAGTTCTAATATCTGCAAGGTAGCTGTTGAACTAAACCAGTGGGAAAGAACCTTTCAGTGTTCCTCCTGGCAATAAATTGTTATGATTAAGAATATCCACTGCAACATTTGCTCTAGCAGCATACACCTGAGTGCCCCATTACCAAATCCATGCAACCATGGTTCCCTTTATGGATGGATAAACTGGATATGCTTATCCTAATGAAACTATTTCTATTTACAGCTTTAAGGAGTCTGCTCCAGAAGCTACAATTTCTCTTCTTACACCAGTTTCTTAATCCTTGGCTGTA